CAGGAAACCCTCATTAGGCAGTGCTTGGGTTTTTCAATACCAGTGCTCAGAAGTTTCATGTGTAAAAGCTGGTTTTAAATCCCTTGGGATAAAAATACCACCTTCTCTGCTTTTTTTTGGTGGTGTTTTGTTTCCTAATAGATCTCTCTCATTGTTTGGAAGTAGGGTCTGTTTACTGAACTGACATATTTCCTTTTTTTTTTTTTTTTTTTACTTCACCCCCAACTCCTGGCTTTTACATCTCATTCTACCATGCCTTAACCACATTCCATGTCATTTTACCGTGCCTCATATCTGCTTTAACAATGCTATGTCTTTATTCTCCTGGTTGAATTTACCATGCCACTTAAGTATTGCCCTTAAAGTAAAGAGATACCTACTTTTCCCAGTTTTCCAGATCATAATGAAATGCTGAGCAACAACAGATCCAACATACAGTCCTGTATTACCACATTCAGCAAATTAGCAACACACCATTGATTCCCTCCTCTCAGTAAATTATCAATTGTCATGAATATTTATGACTTCTTAGAAAGTTTTCAAGCCATTTTGCTTAATGGTCATGCCAAAGTCAATGTGAACTTGTTTTTCAGAGTATGCTTTTCATTGTTTTGATACAATAATGGGATAATAATCTTGCAGTGAATACAGGACTCGTAGCAGTGGCTTACGCAAGCTTCTGAGATCTGCTAACCTTACCCTCTACCTATACATCTTGAGGTCACCCTAAATTGCATCATATGCCCTAGAAACCCACACCATGACATTTCATTAAAAATAATAACACAGTTTTCCTAGTATTTTTGATGTATCAGTATGCAGTAGGTGATCATGAGAAGTTTGTTCTGACAGATTCAGTTTTTGAAAAGCAGACAAATGGAATAGCTAGCTTTTCAGCTTCTTTGTCACTAAAATAATTTCTCTGTGGCTTAAAAGGTATGTTTATCTCTATCTATAGATCTCTATAGATAGGGAGATACAGGCTTTAAGGCCTATTATATCTATACAGTGTATACAATTTGTAACTAGCTGTATATTCAGATAGTCAAGATAAACTCTAAAGCTTCTTTATATGACAGTATTATATAGTTTTATACAGACACATACTCTACTATTTCCTCCCTCTTTTTATAACAGTTGCCGGAAGATAAAGATACAGTCTTAACTGTTCTGCAGTTTCAAAGTTCAGGGGACATGGATAAAGCACAGGAGACTGTTTTTTAGGTTTTAGGATAACAGAATTGATTTCAGGTTTGGGATGCTGAGGCTTCTAGCTCTGACTATTGAAACAAAGGTCTTGTAACCAGGAGGGAAACAACGTTTACCGACAATTTCTAATATAGGAGCTAGGAGTGATGTGCTTTGTGATTTTGTTTCATGTGAAACAGAGGAGAGAGGGTGTGGGATCTTGGATGGAATTGCAGGAGACTTAAAATTCAGAATCTAAATCTGAGGTCTCAATGTGTGCTTGGGAACAATTCCACACTTCAAAGTCATGTGGAAATAAGGTCCTCGGACTTTTCTGGAGAGTGCTTTTACAAGTCCTTGCATGAGTTGCTTTTGGTTAACTTGCTTTATTTCTATTTTTTTAATTGCTATGGTAACTTACGCCATCTTCCTGTCTTCCCAGCTTCTTATCAGGTCTGCCATCTTAGAAATTAGCCTGTGTTGGGAGAAAGCCATGTTTTGGAGCAAGATTGATTTCCCCCTCCTCTCATTTTTTACCTATCTTTGATTGTTCTTGTCTTTGATTAATACTTCTCACCAATGTACACTGTCACAAACAAAGCCAGGAGATGGTAGTACCTTATATGTCCTCCTTTTGGTTCCTTGCCACCAAAACAGGTGCCTTCCTCTCTGATACAAAATTTTCTTAGCACCAGCTTTGCCTGTTGACCTTGACCATACACAGGGCACTGACCTTTCATCCATGATCCCCTACACCAGCTACCTCTTCTCTCTACCATTATCTGTCCCTGTCCATCTCATCCTTTATAGGCGTTGCCCTGCTGTGCCCCACTATGCTATTCTCTTGTACCTGTTTAATGTCTCTTCTTCCTCCACATGCCTGGAGGAAGGCATAACTTGCCTGGAGCCTAGAATCTTGCTCCTTTTTCTTATTAGCTCAGGTTGACTTCTGATGGAGGAAGCTTGTTTTGAGAATTACCTGCTTCACTGTAACTACAGATCCAGCCAAGAGTGCCGTTCTGGGTTGTGTAGGGATCAAGATTTTGCCACTGCTGTTGTGGCATATACCTGTAAGAGTCTTGCTTTGCTTGTTTGTTTAATTACAGCATTACCCCAGACTGAGAACTAATTTACCAAGCAGAGCTGCCTGCAGGCACTGCAGTACCAGTTGCTGATAGCCCCAGAGATGCTGACTGTTTGTAATTATGTGACAGGTAGACTGAAATTGTTTTTAATTGTGCTCTATGGCATAATATATATATATATTTCTTTACTCTGAATATCTGATATTTTAATGAAGGAGCATAACTATTCAGCCTTTTGCAGTATAGCAAAGGAGAAATGTGTGCAGCACTCTTCTTGACAAAAGTACAGAGGAACCAGTCCCTCAACTGACAGGTAGCTAAGCAGAGTTTGTGGAGGCTTTTTTCCTTTGAGAATGCCCCTCTATGCCCCCCAAAACCATTGATTAGCACCCACGTCTGGAAAAGCTTCTTTTGGGGCGGACAGGAACTCAGATGCCTGTGTAAGGACCATGTTGATGGTAGCAAGTTGCCGATCCTCCAGTGACTGTCTCAGGGTGTTGGTAGGAATAAAGGCAGGGTCTTCATTTGGCTTCTGCTTTTTGGTTTTCTCATTCAAGCTTTCTTTGAAAGCTAGAAGTAAAGTGGTGTTGCTGCTTACGTGAAAAACTACAATTCTGGTGCCAGGTGAGAAGGAAGGCTGAGGTGTTACTAGTAATGCATGAGACGTTAAGCCATCCAACTATCTGAGTGGCTGTTCCCTTAAGAGCCACACAGATGTCTGTACCTGTGGTGTTTGTAGAGTCCCCAAGGGCACATTGCGCCATGAAGATAACTGCAAGGAGGGTTTGACTTTCAGTTGAAAACATGTCTTTTCCCGTGGAGAACTGACACCAAGCCTGTAACGCACCCAGGTGGACTTCCAAGGGCAGCTCTTGAGGTGTTTGTGTTATCTTTGTTATTGTAAATGTGCTGTGAACTATGAAGTCCAAAGTGCACCGCTCAGGTGAAGGTATGCTTTGTGCCTGACTTCATGCTCTCGCTGTGTCATCTTCCATGTTCCTCACAGAAATAGGGCAGGGGTACGGTTCTCGCAGGCATGTTGCCCTGCTTCGATAAAGCTGGAGGGGGGAGATGCTTATAGGAGAGGCACATGGGAAAGATGGTTCCTGTCTGATATTTTAAACCTTGAGTTGTTCACATTAGTGAATATTTTCAGTTATGCTGCATACAGGTGGGAGTTTACAGAGGTGCAAGCTACAGGCTGTTGGGGTGTATTATGCTTGTTGAGGTCTGAGTCCATTTGTGGCGATGGATTTTTGTAACTGATTTCTTAAAACTGTGTATTTTGACCAAGGTGTTTGTGAGAAGGTTTAGTCAAACTAAATTGAAACAGAAAAATCTTGTAGCATGAGTCAAGTCCCTTTCAGTATTCTCCATCCACTTTGGTCAGACTGGGTCCTTTGGATGCTGGTATCCTGGCTGTGGAAGAGCTCCTGCTCATTAGTGAACTTTCTGGATTACTTTTATTCTCTCACACTGGTTAGCAGCCCAGCTTTGTTAAGAGCTGGTGCTTCTCCACTCCACAGAGCTAAATTGCGCTAGGCTGGCACCAGAGTTGTCACGGTCTTGGGGTCGTGAGGATTGATAGCGTTGGCATTATGAGCTTTACTGCTCGTCTGTGGCTAAACTCTCAAACTGAATGAGTCCTCTGGCAGAAATTCCAGGTCATTAAACTGGCAAGTGCTCCTTGCAATCCTTTTTTGTGACTAAACTCAGACATCATTGAGTCTGAAGTTACCCCACTTGTCCTAAAGAGCCATCTGCTTTGAAATAGTGGAGATGGGTGCATCAGGAGGTATGGATACCTCTCATGTCAGAACATCAGTATCTTCAGTAGTCCCAGAAAATAACCAAAGAGCTGCATTGGATGTGTGATGGACACGGGTGTAGCAGTGTTTTGTCTGCAAGTCTAGCCTGAAATGTCACTGGATTTGGAAAAATTCTAATTTCTTAATGGCTAGTGGTTCACAGTAATAGCAGCTTGATTCAGACATTGAACGCAGGATGCTGAATATCCTCGGTCAAATCTCAGTCTGACCCTAAATAGCCCAGCGGTAGCACTAGTGTAAATCAGGTACCAGAATGTGAGCAAGGGGAGAACAAGCTCTCTGCTTGTTACCCTTTTAATTGTTAGTGACTTAAGGACTTCCTAACCCAGAAGCTGCATCTTCATATTGTGTTTATTAGCCACTCTTGAACTAATTTGTTTAATCTCTTTGAAACCATGTGTTACCATAGCAGAGAATTCCACAATTTTTAGAAATGCTGATTGAAAAAGTAGTCAGTTTTTTTCTTAAACCTGTTCATCACTGGAATAGTGTTTTCTCTAGAAAATTGCACTTCAACTGACATAAATTTTTGAGTTGTCTTACTACTGAGGAATGTCTACCTAGATTCTGCGTTACCAGTTCACAGCAAATGGAAGTTTTGCAGTGGTTTCCGTCACATATGTCGAATTACGCACTTGAATGAAAAATACACCCGGTACCTCTTATTCACTTGGTATATGCTCAATTGTGTTTTCTGTTGTCCCCACCATTTTATTTTGTCACAGACTTTGGTTTTTACATGTTAGTGCTGCTATAATAGTTGTCTTCCAGAAGCAGCATATATAAAATGACTTACTAGGCCAATAATTAGGCCGAACTTAAAAAGAAAAAAATATTCAAAGGTGGTTTATGTCAGGGGTTTTTTGTACTCTGCAAATTTGCATTTTTCTCACACTTCTTTTATCTGTCTCCTCCTTGCAGCATTAGCCACTATCTGCTTGTGATGTCGTTGACCATATTTATGATGTTGATGAATGGACTGGCCCAGCTGTTAACTACAAAGAGACTTGAACTTCCCAGAAGGACTAAGCACCATTCCACGTGATAAAGTGATAAATCTTCCTGCCTTGTTCCCATCCTCAAGCTTCCTCTGAACCAACCTCTGCTTCTGGAATGTAAATACAGGTTAACAGACTAGAGTGCCAAAAGCCCATCCAGGGATCAGAGCGTGCTGCTGATACAGGCTGAATGCTGTCCCGTGACTGAAATTTGCATTTGGAGATTGCCATTTAGACATCGATAGGACTAAAAAAGCCTCAGCTTTTTTCTCCAAGTGTACATATTGCTTGAAAATAAACCCAACAACAAAGTCCTTTTTAAAAGAAATAGGCAACCATTTCTTGGGGTTTTTTTTTGTTGTTGTTGTTATAACTTGTTTGCCAGCTGTTTGTCTCACACAGGCTCACTCTCGTTAGGAGTCTGCAAAGTCCTAGCTTCATTTCATGTCTCACATAAGCATCTCACAGACTAAAGCATAAATGAAATCAGTCTGGGCAGATCGCTGATTTGTATGTTGCCGATGTGGCATACGCATTTGAATTTCTCTGAAACTGGCTATGCTTTTTGCAAGCTGTGTCAATGTGCACGTGAGAATATGTTGAGGCAGGTTAAGACTGGTACGCTGCGAGGCTGTTGCTTTTAAGACAACAGCTTCTAGCTAACCTCGGTGTGAACTGCTGCTGCTGACCGTGCTCCACTGCTGCCTCCTGTGCTTGGGTGAGCTGAGCAGTATGCCAGCTCAGGTAATTATCCAAATGAAAAGGAACCTGATTAAAGAATTGTAAAATAGTGTTCAGACAGATTTCCTGGTCCAGCTCATGATGGGGTGGGTAGGAAGGTTAGGGCTGATTGTTTCAGTGGCAGCCCAGAGTTAGATCAGCATAAAGAGGTCATGAAGCTGCAGCTGGAGTTGGTGGTTTGCAGAGTGATGCCACACAGACTTTTTTTCCTTTCTTTCCTTGTTTTACTTTCCACTTGTGTTCTGCTTCTGATTACAAGCATCAGCCTGGGTAATGGCTGCACCATCAATCAAATGCAGACACAAATCCCCTGGTTGTACGCTGATTACAAGTGAGAGCGAAGAGCCAGGGTGCTTAGAGGCTCTCCTGTTGTGGGTGCTCCTGGGGACCCAGTAACTCTAAATACATTGCATGAGGCTTTCAGGTAGACTTGTAACTTCGTAGCCCTTCCAACAGCAAGCATTGGATTCCCTGCCACTGGCCCAGAACTGATTAAGTAGCACAAACTACAGTACCCACCTACACCTCAATACTTCATCACTCCCTGAAATCATCTGTTGCGAGAATTAAACAAAAATTGTATCTCCTGCACGGAACTAGGTGTCCTGCCTTTCAAACAGCTCTTTCCATCCACATTATCAATTAATGTGCTTTTGAAGCAGACCCCTTTGCATAGTGAAGGAAATGAGTGAAAGAAAAAATTTTCTTCTTTCTGTGCTATTGTATGATGGCATCACTAGAAATTGTGCTATGTAATATCTCTGTGTCACACTCCCAACTTGCAGCCAGGCCTTCCTATCTGGGAGCTGCTACATACGGTACATGATGCTGGCAGCCAAGGCTAGACATTCGTCATGAGGGCTGCTCCAATACTCTTTCCAGCCATCTGGCATTTGGCCGTGGTCACACGTATGTTTAACATTCTGGAAACTAGTCATCCCTCTCCAGGAAGTTTGGCTGGGAGAAACCAGTCACAAACCTCCATCTGCTTGTTGAGTGCTAGAAAAAGATCATTTCATGGGCCTGCAGTTATCCGTGCAGCTTCGGAGTGCCTCTTGAGAGCGTCTGAGCGCTGGAGGAGAGGGAGTCATTTTTCCACTAGGTAGTGGTCCGGTGGTCCTACTGGGCATGTTGCTAGCACAGCTGGCATCAGTCACAGAAGATATTTCACATTTGTTACAGGCTATACCCACAGACTTGCATGCAGGAAGGTGGGCATGTGCCCACTGCTGGTAGTCGCACCATGCAGCCAGGGCACGGAACAGCCGTGAGCAGGTGGGAAGTTGCTGCCACAGCAAAGACTATGTGTAAGCACGAGAATCTGCCACACTTGCTTTACTTAGATCCAGTGAGTCTCTGCTAAGGGAGAGTCATCCCCACCTCAGCCCCAGTCTACAAGGTACGCTGTATTGTTGCAGGGTACTGTATCACCAGCTTTGTGTGACCTAATACCTTGTGACCTCTGTTTGCAGTGCTCTCATTTCAGTACACACACCTATAGGCAGCTGTACCATTGAGCATTCCAGCTTCCATTGCTGGAGTGATTTCTTTGCAAAACTACTGTTTGTAGAGCAAATTCACTGACAGGAGCAGCTGAACAGCTGGTGTTGGTGTGATGTGAAGGAATTGACTGAAAAAATAGGAATGTGGGACGCACAGGGCTGCTGCCCTGAAGGCACATCTTCTGCAAACGTGTCAAAACCGCTTGTTATCTATGGCAAGGCCAAGTGGATGTCCTGCCTACCAAGCGAAAACGCTGGAGGTATGTACTGTGTGGTGCTGCAGGCTTCCCGGGAGAACGCACAGGAGCTCAGGCCTGATGTCTTTTTTTACCACAGGGGGCTGGTAATAAAACAGGGTCTCACCCCACTGCATCTGGTGCTGCTTATCTGTGGTAGTAGGAATAATCTGTATACTCTGGTATGCAGGTGAGTGGAAATGGTTGTCCAAAGTACAACTTGCCTCAATTGCTTTCTCTGCTTACGGATTCCATAGTGTCTCTTTCCACAAAGCAGGTTTTGTTTTTTACATCCATTCTTGTAATAGCAGAAAGGGGATGATGAGCACGGGGGAACGTTTGCAACGCACACATTGGTTTTTCTCCAGTGCTGCTCTTCAGGGATCTGTTCCTGTTTGCCATTTGCTCTGGTAGGGCCGTAGTGGTAGCATCCTTAGCTGACCTTTCCCTTTCCCCCGCTGGTCCCTTATCTCTGTGCCATTTGTGAATTCAGTTTCTAGCCGGGGCTGCGGGAATGCTGGAGAGCAGCTCTCGTGGAGAGGCAGGATTGGCTGTGCTATTCCCGTGTCTCCCCAGGGGAGGCTCTTGCCGGAGTCTTGGCCCACACTTTTGGGTTTACTCCAGCACAGGGAGGTGTCAAAAATTCTCCCACTCAGCTACTTTACACAGCCCCATGGGGTGTGTGACAAAGTCGACTCTTCCCTCCCACGGATGCGATGCGTGTTCCTCTCCTTTCCAGAAACAAATGTCATCAGCAATAAAAAGTCCTCCCCAGCCTTAGGAGCTAAGGTAGGGAATAAAGTTTTGTACTTGGCTGAGTTTAAGCTTTCTTTTCCTCTGCTTGTGGGCCTTTTGAACATCATCCCTCTTCGTGGGGCCCAGACAGGACTGGGGACACAGAAAGGGGGGCTCTGAGCCAGCAGAGCCTTGCAGGCCAGTGCAGGTATCGCCCAGCCCCTGTGTTTTCTGTTAAGGGCACAAAGGCAGAATTACCCCGAGCCCTCCTGCCTGCCTGCGGCAGAGTTGCAGACTCTCTGACTCCTAGAGCAGGTGAGGCTCCAGACAACGAAAACCTCCGGTGGGGAAAGGCAGGTAGATCAACATTGTTATTTATGCCTGGGGCTGCACAATATTTTTTTGTAACTGTACTTGTAGTGTAAAAACCTCTGCAAAGCCTACATCTTCTTGCTTTCAGAGTCACGGACCCCTGAAGAGCTAACCATAAATCTGGAGTGCCCATCGGGTGGTGTAATGTGAGAGAAGCTGTACTGAAGAGCAGCTGATACAAAGATCTTGTAATCTTCAGCGCTAGGAATCGTTCTCTGCTATTGTCTTATCAAAGCTGTACACAGCAGCCTTTTGATATCCGTCCAGGGAGTGAGCTGTTTCTTCAGAGATGATGAAGCTTAGATTATATCAAGACCTCTTATGACTCAAACTAAATGACTTCCCCTTCACAGACTAAATCAGATTTTACAAGCTTTGGCAGTTTCAAATGCATGCCATGGCTGTTAGTTGTAAGGCTGCTACAGCCTTCATGTTCTTGAATGAGAACAAAGAGATGAATGAACATTCATGGTCTTTCCCAAACCTCGCTCTCTAGCATCGCCCTTGAACTGCGCTGTCTGTTTTGGCCAAGCCATGATACAAATGTCATTTCAGCTCCTACCAGCCCAGCTAACCTGTCAGGGTGCGATGCTCATCGCTTTTCAAAATTGTCTGCATGAATGCTGCAGTCCCTTTTCCTGTGTCTTGGGGGTGGTGAGGGTACTTCTCTCAGATGCCTTTGGCAAAGAGAAGGAGAGCATGGAGGGTGTCCAGCTTGCTGCTGCATCCCGATAGATGTGGGGTGCTGTGAGCATGAACCAGCTGGAGAGAATATTTTGGGGAGCTACAGTTGTGGCGGGGAAGGGAGAACGTGTGTCTGGCGCCTGCGCTGGGGTGTGCTCTGTGTCAGTGGTGGGGCAGCTCCAGGTGGCCCCTTCTCCACCATCACATGGCTTCATCCAGCCTGAAGGCAAGAGACTTTGACTTTCTTCTCCGGTGTGTTGTCTCTGGGCAGCTGCTCTGTGAGCTGCCGTGGCAGGGTTGGGGGCCTGAGGAGCTGCACGTGTGGGACAGCCCCAGATCAGCCCTGGTTGTGTCGTTTGTGAGACGGGGCTCGTGGTGAGCTGGAACTGACCGTTGCAGTGGGTGGTGGTCACCAAATTATTTACAACTCTCTCAACTGGTCTGTCCTGGACAGGTTACGTTAATAAGGATGTGCAGGGTTGAATCCGGTTCATCAGCTTAAAGAGGCCGGGAGTTCAGCTGCTTCCTGCAAGGGCTCCCTCCTCGCCCCAGGGCAGGGCACAGCGTTTTAGCATTTGAGGAGGATGGAAAAGGGGAAGAAGACTGAAAGCATGTCACTCTCCCCTTCCTGTGACCTTTGAAATCAAGCTCGCAGATACTTTCTTTATTTGTTTATTTATTGACACACACTTGGCAGCAAGCTTTGTAACTTTCTAACTTTGAAGGTGGAAAATACCAAGTGGAAATAGAGGAAAACACACTTTATTTTGTTCGTAT